CGCCCCTGCTCTGATGGCCTCCCCCCCCCCGACCATCTCAACTCTTTGAAAAGAGGACCAAACGCACAACACAGTTTCACCTTAGAAAGAAAATGTATGGGCACATCTCGTTAACAAAAGATAGCAGAATAACAGACAACCCTAGGAAGTCTAAGGCAGTTTATTTTCTATGTGCGAGTTTATATGCAGCAGAGTATCAGCTATAATCTTCCTGTGATCCACATCTTGAAGCATTACTCAGTTTCTTCTTTGTAGATTTCCTCCCACTGATTTGGTTTGCTCTCTTCAGTGGTTTTATTTGATACAGCACATGGACTGCTAGAAAGAGAAAGTTACAGTGTAACTAGTACACTCTTTATAAATATAAATAAAAAAAATAATGGGACGGTGCTTTAAGATTTGTTTAATAATTATACTTAACAGATTACTTGTTTTATGTATTAGCTTTATATGCTGCCCTTACCAAAAGAGGCTCAGAGCAGCTTACAATAAGAGAGAGAACAATATAGTAAAGCAAATGGGATACAATATGAAACAAAATTGTTACCTATCAAAACTCTTAGTTCAGGCCTTCTCCAATTTAAAAATCATTTTCTCTATAGTCACTGTTACTCCAGGTCCATGGTTTCAAACTAAAAAGTAATGATAGGCACTATGTTTTCAGATACCTGCTATAAGGAGTATACTGAATTGTCTGGCAAAGTTCTGCTGAGGTTGGTACACTAGACAGGGAGCGAGGTTTCTTTTGCTGAGACCTGGTGTTCATTAAATGATTGTCTTGATCAGAACCTGTAAAGAATCAAGAATATAAAACAGTTGTTAAAAGGCCCAACGTAGTTAAAGTATCTAAAGTGATAAATTCTGCAAGGTTTCATTGTCTTTAATGAAATAAGAATATCAATAGATTCATTAATGATAATTGGATAGTATTAAAGTTTTATGCTGAAATTTGTTTTTATAAACACCTTTAAACACTGAGGAAAAAACAGGAAAAACGTTATAGGTATAAGTAATTTTTCTCAGACAAGTAGTCACATTAAAGTCAATAAAACTTCTCATATTTTAAAGTTACTCATACGTATAAGTGGGTGTTTTCTGGATCAGGTTCCTACAGTGTATTTTGCAGTTGATACATTAAGAGCTCTTCATTGTCTTATGGCATGAAAATCACTGAAGTCAACATCAGAGCTCAGGAACTTGCCCAAGGTCATAAAATAACATAATTTATTAACCTTAACACTTATATGAGCTATCCTAACTCTTACTGAAATCAATGGGGAGACCCAAATTGACTGGGGGGATGGTATGATCTGGCTTAATTCCTTTTCATTTTTAGATTTTAGACCATAGAGCAAAAAATTAGGCAAGTAGAATTATGTAGTATTTTGTAGGATTTATACTAGTGTTGTAGTTTCAGAGTTTAACATCAATCTGTAAGGAAAAAATACAATCTAAAAACACTATTCTAAGAAACCTTTAATGAAGAAAGTATCCAAACAGCATCATGCAGAAGTGATACTCCTTCACATGACAAAAAATATAAAATCTAGTTTCTCTCTCTCACTCACACCCCACCCCTTCCCCAACCACTCTTAGAGCTACAGGTAGGTTTAGAGTACAATTTAAGAGAAAATACAGCATTAAACAAAACCACACACACACTGTATCAAACATTAAACTGTTCAGAAGTCACAATCAAACTAAAAGAAGTCTTTATAATACAAGGCACACACCCAGATTGTTAAAAAACTCTTAATAACCAGTATCCAGACAAACTTAATTCCACCCTAAATTTCCTTTTTTTTTTTTTTTTTCCAGTTACAAAAAGGACAACATCATGCTCAGGAAGCCCACAGAAGAACCAAGGATGTTGTCAATAGAAATAAGATGCAAGGAGCTAAAGTAAGAGAGGCAAGACATTTTGTGGGTAAAGAATGTTAACTTAAGTGTATACACTGCATGGTAAGGGTTGCCAAAATTCAGAATGGTCTTCCAAGGCAGGTGGTGCTCTCCCCATCTTGGGGGTCTTTAAGAGAAGCCTGCATAGGCATCTGTTTGGGGTCATTTGACCCCAGTACTCTTTCCTGCCTAGGCAGGAGGTCAGACTTGATGATCTGTTGAGGTTCCTTCCGACACTAGCATCTGTGAATCTATGAACTTCACATGACAGCTGTTTTGCATTTATTTTTAACTGCTGGCTCCCATGACAAGGATCGTGTGCGTGCGTAGAAGCTGTTGTATCTTGTTTCATAGTTGGTAGCGTCGGAAGGGACCTGAGCAGAT